TTGTCTTCAGCAATCAATCAAGGCTCCAGCATAACCTGTTCTACCAAAGACAGATGATCTTTTCCGAAATCACAGATATCTCTGAAAACTTCATCACCATTCGTTAAGACAAAGAGTTGCCACTTGGCAGTCTCCTTAATGCAGCATAAATTTTAATAATGCATCCACAAACAACCAGCTACAGTGTAGCTCACAGATTCTGCTGAGCTTTAGGAAAACAAATTTCTACAGCTCCTTTTCACTCCTTGTCCTGGTACTGCTGAAAATGTCTCCTGCAAATCACATGTAAGAGACACAGCAGCATGTGTCTGCAGGCTCCAGGTCTGGTTTTCAGTTTACATTCATGCTCTTTCTGATAATAACTTGTCTCACGTTAGCTGCTGCAAAGTCACTTAGACAACCCAAATTGCTTTTTTGAATCATGAACCGGGTACCAAAAAGAGTATTAAAAGGCAAAAGTATCAAGGTCAGAAGCAACGGATAATTTTTTCTATGGGTACTTGGTAGAATAAGGAGATAAGGAAAAAAACTTTAGGTCACTCTATGCTTCTTAGGTCAAGACACTGATATTGCACCCAAGTCATGGAACTAATGTTTGGCATTACATTTTATTGTTGTGTTTTGTTTCTTTTTAATCTTGGTGTATTGTGAGTTATAGATCACTTTGTGCAAAAATTTTTATATAGCTGACATGCATTTACATTTTATACAATTACTAGTAATACACCAATTATAATTGTATCAGGCATACTGATTATTAAAATCTGGTATCTTGATAACACTGATAAAGAAACAACTCACAGTAACATTAATCTGTATGAAGGATAACCAGGCATGCAATGGCCCAACAATAAAACCAAAGTTCAAAATGAAAATCAGACATGTAAAAGTACAAGAGAAACATCTCATCTTAGTGCTAGAGTTTCACTTGGATTCAGCCTCCACCACTGCCTTACAGTAACACAGTCCTGTTTAACAAACAAACAAACAAACAAACATTGCTTTTAGTGACTGCAGCTTGGAGGAATACCTGCACGTTGGGAAGATCATTAGGCAGCCTCTTCATGGTCACCAAGGCACTAGAAGACAGTGGTCTCCCAGTATGGGGGCTATGGCTCATGCGTCACACATCTCTCACCCCAGTTCATGCCATTTCAGCACATACAGAGCTCCAGTCTGAACAGGGTAGACTCGTGTCCCAGGACAGAGACAGTTTGGGATCATGAAAAGCTAAACATGAAAGACTCTTGGAAGAGACCAGTCCAAAGCACTGAGTAGGTGGCAGAACACAAGCAATGAAAGCGATCCTCATATCTGCTACTATAACTTTCTAACAACCTTTCCAGTTCATATTCTGTCTCCTGACCGTGCTACTGAAAATTAAATCAACTGCAGGAAAACAAGTACTCGCTGGCACAGGAATACACCAAGCTAGTGGTCACCCCATTGCAGCTGTCTGGAGAGAGAGGTTGTGTTAGGAGGTATTTCACTAATTGCTTTAGAAAATATAAGCACAAGGAAAATAATATTTGCAGAAAGAAAAGCAAGAACAGCAGGAGATGCATGCTAGCACACACCAGTTCCAAAGTGTTAAACGGGTGTGAGAAGTGATCGCAGCAGACTTGCAGTTAATTCAGCATTTAAAGATACTGAAAACATTATATAGAATCATCTCAGAAAAGCAGAAGTGCCATTTTATAACACAGAGATTAAGTAAAGCCTTCTGCACAAAAACTGCAATGAAAAGTAATTTGGTTTTCTCTGTCATCTGATATCTTCAGCAGGGACTTGGTCTTTTGGCCCTTTTTGAAGAGTGCTGTTTCTGTCAAGACAGGTTCAGAAATTAATTTCTAAAAAACACCCACAAATACAGAAATAATAAAAATTAGCAGACTGAGGACATAAATTTTATCCTTAATTATTAAAATAAATCCAGAATAATTGAATTGTAATTTTAAGACCATTGCTATTGATATGCTCTGTTCTTAAGAAGTTCATTTTTCTGAAAGAAAAAATAAAGTACACATTTTCAGAGGGAAGTAACCTGAAGCATATGCTGCTGAATTTCACTAAAAGTCACATTGAAAATAAAAAGCATTTAGATTTGTGAGGCTTTCCTTACACAATTCCTCCAATAATTGTGTAGGTCTCTCATGGAACTGAATCATACTACCATTTTTGTAACCATGCTAAGTAACACATTCCCTGTTTTCTACAGCTTTCGGTTATTACCAGGAGGGAAGCTAAAATAGCAATGTAGCAAAGAAAATATTTCTTTTTCCGTCTGTAAGCCCATATTGGATGGGCCATCATATCCTGTATTGAAAGCTTTGTGCATTCAGAGTCCTTTCCTGAAGGACTTTTCTGCACAAGGAATAAGATTCAACCACAAGCCCTTGATTGACGACCTTCTTCCTTTTCAAACTTCTTCCTTGCATCATGGGATCTAGAGAGCTTTCTGAAGATGGAAACAGACTGAGTCCACCCACCCGAGTCCAGGAGCTGGGACTCTCAAAACAGCATCGAGTCTTCTGAGTGTGACACCAGCCACAGGAGCGGTTGGCTCAGCTCAGACACGCCAGCACACATGAATGGGAAACCTGTTAGGCTGAACTCCCACCAAGGCACCTCAAAACAGGTCTTAAGTGACTGTTGGAATTCTGACAGCTCTCCACAGAGGTGATTTTCACAGTAAAATTTGGGAGATGCAACATGAAGGGAATGAAGGGAACCAAAAGAAGAGAGAGTTTCTTGGGAATGCTGAGAAATTAAAGCTACTCAGAAGGTCTTGCACAGCTGTGACTGAGGAGAGCTACACTACATGTCACTGTGAAAATACTCATACCAGATTAAACATAGAATCATAGAATCATAGAATCTTAGGGGCTGGAAGGGACCTCGAGAGATCATCTAGTCCAACCCCCCTGCCAGAGCAGGGTCACCTAGAGTACATCACACAGGAACTCATCCAGGTGGGTTTTGAATGTCTCCAGTGAGGGAGACTCCACAACCTCCCTGGGCAGTCTGTTCCAGTGCTCTGTCACTCTCACAGTAAAAAAATTTTTTCGGATATTCACCTTGAACTTCCTATGCCGTAGTATTTGCAAATGCCCAAAGTAGAACATTTCTGGCATAATTATTCAGGCCCTACCAGAGATTATTTTGGTCCACTGAGCCTTTGTGACTTTTAATCTAGAGATGGGAAAAGAGGCGATTACACAGGTAGTGCCTCTTCATAAAAGCACAGCTTATTTCCCTCTTGTGCACCATCTATTTTTCAACATACAAACACTGAGCTTTGTGTGTTTCCTTGAAAGATTCTTTCTTGACTTAACACACCTCATTGTCAAGTACTTTCTCCTGCTATTATTAGGGGTTTTTAAATTTAGTTTACTAGTCTCTATCTGTACTGTGCCCATTATACCTAGTTACAGATTATGCTGAACAAGTCATCTTCTTCCTCAGTGTGTATTTCTTTCAAATATCTGCAGATGATCACATTTCCCTGTAGCTGCCAGCTAACAAAAGCATATATATTTAACTATTTTATTCTTCCCTTCTGAATTCCCTAAGGGCTTTTCATTCCCCTGAATTCCCTCCAGTTGCCAACAGCCTAGTAATGAGGTGTCCTGGCAGCACCCAGAATGTTACGGCTGAATAGAAAGCAGTCCTTACCCCTCATGCCTATGCACTTTAGCAACACATAGGACACTTCCGTTGCTTTGGAAACTTAGGATTAATTTACTACTAATGATCACATATTGTATTTCTCTTGCCCTGCAGTTTATTAGTTTTTGCCTTCCCAAGATGATTCATCTAGCTAACCTTTTAGAGCCTTTGGCTCACTTCTGGCTCTTGTCACTGATTAAAGAAAATTATGCACATCTTTTGTTGTGAGGTTGGATGCTGGGAATTTAGAAACTTCCCAGAAGAGCTCTGGACAGTGGGATGGGCACTCCGTGCAAGCAGTGGCCTGCCCTCCTCACTGAGCCAAAAGGCAAGGGGCTATCAGCAGCATGAATTCATTTGGAAAAATAGTCAGATGCAAGATCAGCACAGAAGAGCTTGACTTCTATTCGCCTTCCTGCACTGTGACCATACCACTGGGGGGGAAGGTGTTGCCTCCACAGCTGTCCCCAAAAATCTGCATCAAGAAATGGAAATCCATTTGAATGCTGCAGATGTCTGGCACCACTTGTGTGTGTGATGCCAAACAGCTTATCTGGTTGTCCTTCTAAATTATGCTATGGGTGATACCACTGAAATATGGAGATTACTTTCAAGGAGCACTCATCTTACTTGTATTGGAAGCTTGGGGCATTTATTCCTACACTGCAGGTGTTCATGAAACTAAGACATTTGAGATAAAGTACTAGAACCAAAAACAAGACAAATCAAAGAGCTGATAATCCTGTGACTTCCAAATGTATAACTGAGTAACCCCTCAAAACTTTTCTATTGCACTGTGTAAAATGCCTATATGTCAGCAGAAAATTATCTATTACTTTCTATTTTCCAAATAAAGGTAACCCAGCCTATGCCCCATCAGTCACACCTGGGAAGAGTCATTACAAAAATCAGATTATTTCTATTTCATGCAGGCATGAAAGTGTTTCTGCAAATCAAGTTGTTTAAAGTGACCAAATCATTCACATTATTTGAAATACTTCAGGGCTCCTTACCTGTTTGTGCTCATGCAGAACAACCCTTACAGTTTTATGGATACTTATATTAATTGAGCAAAACCATTAACCACTCCTTCCTAGTCACTGATGTAAAAAGTCATCTCTGCCATTTTTACAGAGGAAGAACAAGAAAAACAGAGATATGAAGTTGACTGGTGACAGGCAGGAAAACTTACACAGCACTGTTGTCATAATTTTTCCATGACTGAAAAAGCCCATGCAGGAGTGCAGAAGGCAACCAGGACACCTGGGACACTAGGAGGATGCATGGTTGGACTAGAGGGCAGTGGGCAGAGCAGGAGCCATAGAGCTCACCCAGCTGGTGCCTTCCCAGGAGGACACAGTGAATTGGGAGTAGCCCTCCATGTTGTCCCCAAAAGTGGGGTCCATCATCAAGTGTGCAATAAGCTGATCCACAGTATTTTGTGAGATACCTGCTTTGATTTCCAGTTCTGTCCAGAAAAGGCAGCGGGATGGTATTCCACAAAGCTAGCTCACCTGCCCAAAATGCAGGGACTACTTTTATTTAAAAAAATATCTATAAAAATGCTGTATCTCTAGTTATATCCTATCATATGATTGGTCAACTAGTTCTTCACCTCCATTTAAAATTACAGTACTTACAGATTTCATCACACGTGCTCAAAAGGTAGTGGATTTTCTGTTAGTAGGGGTACCACTAGCCTGTGGGTGGGTATTTCAGCATCCTAATAGTATACCAATAAGCTAACAGTGTATCAGTATGCTAATGATATGTTAATAAGGTAAGTCAAATTACTCAGTGTTTTCCACATAGCACTCAAAGCTATAACCATGCTGATCCCGAGATAAGTTGTGGGGAACACCCCCTTTCACCCCTTTCATCCATCTTGCAGGCCTGTTTCTCAAGGGTGGGTTGTTGACTCTCAAGGGTGGGATGTGTTTTTCACTAATTCCGGCTGTCTTAGTGTTTTGCAAGTTCTCTTCTTATTACCCGTGTCTCTTCATTCTCTTTGATGTGATTTTTTCCCCCTAAAACTGTACTTCTTTCCATTCCCAACTGACATCAGCCCCATCCCTCCCTGCCTCT